CCGACAGGCGCTCCCGCCGCGTGGGGTGGGCCGACCCGCCGCACACGGGGGGTGCGCGCGTTGCCTAGCCGACAGGCGCTTTTGCTTACCCATTTTTTCCTTCCTTCGCAGCTCTCATCTCTGCTCAACACGGTCGACGGCCGTGGCGACCTGCCGCTGGACCTGGCGCTGCGCGACCGGCAGAGCTCCCTCGCCAAGACCCTGGTGGAGCACGGCGCGGACCTGAACGCCCAGGATGCGAGGGGCTGGACTCTGCTGCACTGCGCTGTCGAGAGGGGTGAGTCTGGGACGCGTGGCTGCGCCTCAAGTCCGAGGTGTACTTTACCATAAATTCAATCGTACACCTATTTTCCTTTTTTTTCTGGTGTTTTAAAAAGATGTGTTCTTTATTTTTCCTGATTTTCTGACTTTTTTAAAATTTTTGCCTTGATTTTTGAAAACAGTTTTTTCTTATTACTCTGGTTTATTTATTTTTGAGTGAAGTACCCCTCGGTCCAACCTCGAGCACGCCTCTCATTGTGTCGCCCACTTTGCTTGTCCAGGCGACGACTTCGCCGCCACCTTCCTGCTGGAGAAGGGCGCTGGCGCGTCACTGCGCACGCCCACCAAGGGCGACACCGCGCTCCACATGGTGGCGGCGCTCAGCCCGGACACGGCCGACGCCGGCACCCTGGACGCGCTCACCGAGGTGGCGGCGCTCATGCTGTCCGGCGGGCTGGACCCCAACCTGCAGAACAAGCAGGGCTTGTGAGTAGTACCCCCCATTGTAGTTTTGGAACGCAGCAGGTCAACGTTGTGGGCTCTTCACTTGAATCGTCGGTTGTGACTTTGCGCCGCCTTTGCTTGTTCCAGCGCCCCTCTGCACCTGGCTGTCAAGTCCCGCAACGCCCAGGTGTTCTCGCTCCTGCTCAAGTGCCCCGGCATCGACCTGAGCGCGCGCACCGAGCCGGGCCACGGCGCCCTGTACTACGCCCTCCTCGGCGAGGGGCCCTTCGGCGCGGAGAGCTTCGCGGCGCGCCTGGTGGCGCAGGGGGCCACGCCGAACCCCGTCTACCCCGCCATGGGCGACACTCTCCTCCACGTCATGGCGAGAGAGGTGAGTCCAGCTCACGACAAGGATGAACTGATTTCATTTTAGACAGTCCCCTAGACTGCCTCTACCAGAGGGTATTTCCTCTTTTCCCTTTCATATTTCAGTTTTCGGTTTTCATTTTCCACTTTTTATTTTCCTTATTGATAACATAAAAAAATACCAATTGTGTTTTTTATTATTAATTGTACCTCTTGCAAAATTGTAGGATCTTGAGGAGCAAGCTCTGTTTCTGTCCGAGCACGCCAACAACGTGAACCACGTGAATGCCCAAGGGCAATCGGCGATGCACGTGGCTTGCGAGCGCGGTCTCGCGAAGCTTGTGGCAGCTCTGCTTAGCTCGGGTGGCAACCCCAACTTGCAAACTTTGACGGCGTCGGATGCGGGTGGAGCTCACCGTCAAACTCCCCTTCACATTGCAATCGCCAACAGGCATGAGGAGGCTGCTCATGTCATTATAGACTATCGAAGTGAGTCGCGCTGTGCTTTCTTCGTCGGGATGGATAAATAGCTTTTTACCAGAGCTATTTACTTATTACATGGGAAATGATTTTTCTGTTGACAGTAAACTACAAATGTCAGAAAGGAAATCCAAAAGCAGTCCCTACTCCTAATCTTGATTGCAAAGACTCTGCAGGTGATACTCCTCTCTCTCTGGCTATTCGGAGTGGGATGCAAAATATTACCCAGGATATGCTTAAAGGTTTGTTCTATCAATGTGTTGTTAGACGGTTGTCTGTGAGTTTCATCACTCCGTTTCTTTTCATTGTTGCTTTTATTATTTGAACTTGTTACAGCTGGTGCAGATGTGAATGTTCGCAATGGTAAGGGATTGACTCTCTTACATCAAGCAATTCTTAACAAAGATAGCAAAATGGCTAACTTTCTACTGAATTGTGGAGCAGATATGAATGCACTGTATGTATTTATTGATTTATTGCATATTTTAA